GAATTATGTAAAATAATTAATAATCACAAATACATAAATAAATAAATACATAATTACATAAATTAATTAATTGATAAATAAATAAACAAATAAATATGAAAATGAAATTTTAAAAAAAAGTTAAAGAGAAATGCAGGGAAACACTTACCCAGCGTAACCTGATACTTGACTAATGGTGGAAGAACTCTCAAATAAATGGCAAGCATATATTATCCTGTAATGAAGCCTGTTGATGATRAAAATAATAGTGATGGTGATGATGCTGATAGTAATAATCATGTTTTGAAAATTAAAAACAAGAACAAGAAAAAACTGCCTATTTTTTTGTCCTCCAGAACAATTCCTTTAGAAAATCAATGCAAGGTGTATTTTTTATTTAAACGAATAAATGCTACAGAAAAAAAAATCGAAAAAACATTTTAAAAACCCAAAACATAGTGCTAGGGTTTGATAAATGAACAATTTACCATAATCAGCTGGAAGATTTACAAAAATCTCTTTTCTGATAAATAARAGGTCATTAATTTTGAAAGCATTGGTGAGAAACGCTTCTACAATGACACCATTTTTGTTGTTGCAACGTCATACTGTAGTCTTAATTCACTAATCAGCATGAACCTTCTCAATCTTAAAAGGTTCAAGCTGATTGGTTAATTTATGGAAAGAAATGTCCTGCATAAATAAGCAGACGTCTGTGGGGAGGGAAACTTTGTGTGACCGTGACTAGATACTAAGAACATCTGCGTTGGAGGCTATACCTTCAAAGTATGAGCTCTAACTTTTGGTCCATTGAAACTTCTGGTCAGATATTCACGGACAGCAAGCTAGCTCAAAATAGGTTATAGCCAGAGCCTCTCATTTCTTGGTGCTAACCAATAATAACGTGGGCTCTAGGCACGAGATTTATCTCTTACCCTGAGTTAATTCTTGCCTCAGACTTCATCACCCACAACATTGTCGCAAGTAGATACAACAGCTCAATGATTTCAATAACCAGGCAGTTGGACGTTTTGGACATCATTGTCCAGATGATCTCAGTAATATCTTGAACAGTTGTAGACACGATAGTAAGCAGCAGAATGACTGACCAAGGGTTCTAAACATTAAAAATAAACACCATCCAGTTAATCTAATTTATTCAGTAGAACACTGTGAAATATTTTTGAAAGTTTGAGTATTGAAGTAGAATGCAATGGCCTGAGGGAAGTTATTAGAGAGAGAAAAAAAATTAGAATAATATAAATGAAACACTATTTGTTCTATGTTTGCTAGTAAAAATGTTAAAGAGTTTGAAATATGTCAAGCAATTATGAGGAAAAAGGGATACTACCACACCAATAGACCCCTTGCAGCACTTTGGAATTCAATTTCCAGGCACCGTGTAGGTGTAAGGCAGGTAGGGCCAAAAATGATTTTCAGTTATTTATAGTGACCTAACACTTTGTCAAGTGCTTACAGCATGTTGAAGGAATAGAAAACGTGCRCGCATGCTGTGTGCAGTCATAAAGCACGCGGGGGTTGGCAGAACAAGAGAGAAGTGTTAGGAGAAGCACAACGCGTAGCGGAGTGCTTCTGGACACTTCTCGAGTGTTCTGCCAATCCCCAGACCGAAAAGGATCATTGGGATAATTAATTCACAGCTACTAGCTGCTGCATTTGTTATTTAACATGTCTTGAGCTCGCTTTTTTCGATCCCATTTAATTTGCTAAAACCATGCCTTGAGCATACGTCAAAGATTTAAACTGGCAAGAAGTTTGGATGACGATAGTTCTGGGTAATTTACCCATTATCCTATTTGGTCTAGGCCYGTAGGGATGATCCRATCAACGACAACATTTAGTCAAAGGACTGTACATATTGTTATACCTTACCTCTCTAACTGACTGTGATGTTGAGTTATAAAAACATGAAATCAAGGGATATTTACTGTGGCTGTTCAAAGCATCTAAGAGCAAAGGATTATTACTTCTAAAACTTTTAACAAAGTTGCAGAGTTTTGGGGTAAAGTCTGTAGGGTTCTTCATAAGGCCTTCTTCATCCATAATTTCTTGGACTTTTTGACGTGTTTTTTGACAGCCCATAATCAATCTGTGATACATTTTTTTCCAATAYAAGAACTGTAAAAAAAGGAAATCTGGTTTCAATATAATCCATATAATTACTGTAAGGCCAAAAATGTTATGAGTAACCTAAAGTTTTGGCATGACTTTAATGACTAATATGTAAGTTTACCCCACTGCTGAACTGAAAATAATATTCTAAGGGCCTGAATGATTCTTGAAGGTGTGTGAGTGTGTTGGGGGGGAGGGGGGGCAACTCAAAACTATGCTCCCCAGTCCCTACATTGGGGGTGTGTGCTTATGACAGCCAAAATGAGGACCTCCATTTAAAACTATGCTCCTCTGAGTCCATGAGGAACATGATAGCAAACAGGACACTGCAGGTAGCCATAAAATAAAGCAACAAACATGCAGTTGTCTTTGAATTTCAAGTATTTTAAGTTGGCAAACTTAAAGTGCAGCTACATATGTACAGTGTGATCACACTTCTGTGTTATGGACTATAACATTATTTTATCCACATCATTTGAACTCAAGTCGTTTAACGGTTAGGATTCCTAAAATAAACACACATATACAAAGTGACTAAAGGAAAGAAAAAATTACACTTAAAAACGTAGTAGTAAACTTAGTAAACGTAAAATCCAAAATAAAGGATCTGAACAGAGAACTTATAAAAAGTGTGTGTCGGTTGCAGTTAAAGACTAAATAARATTATTCAGAGATTGATCTCTAAAAGACAGTATAATACACTAGGGAACTGAAGAAAACAATAAACTAAGTACTTAGAAGGGGAAAAAAAATTATGCAGGTTCGTAGTAACATTTTGTCTTGCTCTTACATGCATTTGCCTGGATTGAAAGACCTTTGTTAGGGAAGTACAAAACCTTTCTTTTTCAAATATCTTTTTTCCTTCAAAAGATATTGCAGTTTAAAGTATGCCCACCATTTTTCTTGATGACTTCATATTCTCAATACTTGAGCAGCCTAAGATTATGATATTAAGCTATATCTCAACCCAATTTCAATCAAAATTAACCAAATTTACTAGGCTAGTATTATAGTACTCTAGCTGTTCTTCAACCTGTGACGATATACCTAATTACCTCTCATCTGCTTGGAATTTGTTTATATTTTTCATTATTTCTAAACTATGATTTGATGTGAGGTAAATGCTAAATAAAATAAAATAAAATAAAATAAAATAAAATAAAATAAAATAAAATAAAATAAAATAAAATAAAATAAGGCCAAACAAAATAATAAGTGTGTTTCCTGTTGCGTGAATGACCCTAACTTTCTTGCCGATTTTTGCTGACCCTAATATATTCCTCCCCCCAAATGCACCACAGGGTTCCCAGTAAGCTAATTTCCACTGTGGTTGTATCAGTAAAAAGAAAAAACAAGAAAAAGAAAAAAAGAAAAAAAAGAAAAAAAAAGAAAAAAAGAAAAGAAGAAATCTGATCTGCTGACCCCAATTATTTTTCTCATGCAACAGGAAACACACTTATTATTTTGTATGGCCTAAGTTAAACAATTTTCTGCTCAAGTTAAAAAATGAAGCAATCGCTGAATAGCTAAATACATTGTTAGGGGCCTGGACACCAGTGTGTTGCCATAGCATCCACAGTTTATTTGCTGTCATGTTTCATATTATGAATACAAATGTACTGCAAAGTTTGGATGATGTCATAGGCTGAAATCTATGTTGAAAGAAACTGTGAGTTGAAAATATGAGGTCATCAACCTCCTGATTAGCATAAACTTAAAACTTAAATATCTCTATCGAACCAAAAATGCTAACAAGAAATGCGAAAAGCCCGTTTTTCTTTTGCAAAGTACTTTAATATGTGTTTAATTACTAAAGATTGGAGACKTTAAAATTTCAGCAATGTGGCACTTTTAGACTATATAACGTACTGCACGCCCCTGACCAAAGGTTGCTAGCTGATTTCCTAATTTTTCACCCTTTCTTTCCTTTTACTTTTGAGACCCTCTAAAGAGTTTAGCCAGTTTTGATTGCAGGCATTATCTACAGTGGCAGATTCAGGGGGGGAAAGGGTGGTTCAATAATTTGATTATTTTCTCCTATAATTGAGTTTGCCACAAGTTTAAAGTGAATTTTATATAAATGATTAGAAAAAAAATTCAAAAGCAAAACGCAAGTTTACAGTGAGGGTAAATATGTATGTTTGGTTCCCTTATAAAATAATTCCTTTGCCCCCCTTATTCTCATATACATACAGGAGTATCACAAGGCCAAAGAAAATAGAATTCTATATAATTGTACAATACTGTATATACCTCTGGTTTGTTAATAACATCATTCCAGCTCTTGCAAACAGCTGCGCAATTCCTCATCAAATCTTGAAAAGGCACTTGACAAAAAATGTTTTCAAGTATTTCCACTGGAAGTTGACCACAAATCTGACCTCCTAAAAGCAAAAGGCAATAATGGTTGTTTTAGTGTTACAAGGCTATTAATAATGGGTGGTCATGCACTAATCATTTTGAAAGTAACAGAAATTGGAAAAATGGTCGAGACAACTGAAGATATATCATAAAAAATAAAATAAAATAATAAAGAGTAAAAAAAATTACTGTTGCCATGGTGATGAGGTTTCTAGCTGGTGGAGATGGGGAAGACAAGACAATTATTTCAATATCTTGAAAAGTCAGAGAATTTAAATACCAAAAAAGCATTGATAATTATAATTGATGGGAAGTATTTCAAAACTGGTGTGATTAGGGAAAACGTGACATAAGAAGCTTATTGGTCAGTAAAATTTATATGCAAATTGACTGAGAGCTGATAGGCCTTCATCCAATTACTGGTTGAAACAGAGTAACTTGGGCCAACGGCTACACTGGCTGGTGTGTACTTTTACGCTAGATAAAAGTGATATTAAATAGTTGTTAAAATTGAGTTTTATAATTCTGGGTCCAGTTGTAGGAAGGGTGAATAGTGTTACTCAACAGATAAATCTTATCCTGTGGATAAATTTATTAAATAACAGCATTGACTTATCCATTGGAAAAGGATTATATTTCATAGCACTATACAATCTTCATATAACCAGCCCCTGATAGATAATCATGTTCATTTGCATAAACTTCAACTTCTATTTTCTTGGGCAAATTCACTTTTATCTTGAAAATTTTAGTCAAACACAAAACAACTAGCCTAGACCTTTGTTAAGCAACAATTACAATATGCATGTCCATGGTGTATACGATGTRTCCAGGGCAGTAGACAAGAGGGGCTATAGATCCCTCCCCTCGCCGCCTCTAAGGACACTGCTTTCTGTAGTGTCATTAGCAAAATTTATTCAAGGCCCACCTTAAATATATTTTTGACTGGATCTGATTTAATAGAAAGAACACTAGATATGAATCATAATCATAATCTCACTTCTCATTGGCCAAGAGCCTACAATCAATCCATGATATTATGTGAACTCCACATGATAAATCTGTAGGTGTTCCTGACTTGTCATGACTTGTCATAGTTTATTGAGGGTCACAATAGAGAATGAAATACTGTATGTTTGGCCTATTTTTTCGAAAGAAGAATGAACTCTCTATTACTACAGTATTGAATTAGTTTTTAATTATTGAATTCAGTTTTCACATGATAACATAATTTGGACCTTGGCCTTTCTATCCTCCTCAGCCTATGGCTTTAGCAGATCACATGGCCTTGGTTTTGATAATTTATGGTATCATGCTCATTCGTATCCAATACTGTAATCGTATATTGCTGCTATTAAATCATGATACACAAGTGTTATATTAAAATGTATCTGTGATAGCAAAACCATGCAACCAGGAGAATAGTCTTATGCTAAAAGGTAATATTTATGAATATGAAATCATCACTTTCAAACATGATATTACATTTAAATCCACTTTATTTGAGGAAGGTAAGGCAGAGTGCCTGGAGTATTATGCTGTCATGGCAGAAGAGGGATATACAAACATTTCACTTAGGGACGGACCATTAGATTTTTGAGGGGGGGGGGGGGTTGGCAATTTATATTGTGCAGCAAGCTTTTTTTATGCCTCATGGCTTAGCAGGAATTTTTTTTGACATAATTAGGATATTTTTCTGGCACTTTTCTTATGCACAATTTTTTTTCACCCTTAAAAGCTGTGTTCGATTTTCCCCCAACCCCTTCCCCCCTTAAAAATCTGTCCCTTACATGTAGGGGTTTCAGTGTTTATATAGATATGTATTAAGAAATAGTCAGTCGATCCTTATSTATGAGTCAATACCAAAGGTGCCCATCCCCCTCCCCCCCCCAGGCAACCCCCGAGGCATTTGGCTTTTTGGAAAAAAATTGGTCAAATTCCCCACCATGTGGGCCAACCAAATGTTCAAATGCCCAACTGTTCAGGCTCCACTAAGTGGTCAAATGCCCACCCCTCCAGTCTGATGAATCTAAAATTTTATCTAAAAAGTACTAAACTGAGCCCATACAATCGAAGTTTTTCTATTCATGGTTATCATATTAAATAAAAAATCTTAAATTTTCGCAATATCATCTTGAAATCTTGGTAGAAATCTTGAATTTCCTCTCAACAAAACAGTAATTTTAAACAACTTAGGCATTTTCGTTTCTTAAAATTCAAACCACAAACATAAGCACAAACCAGGTGAGAAATTTTGCAATCACAGGCTCAAATTGCCACGAGGAAAGTCCGAGAATAAATTATGCAAATTAGATAAGGGCCTCTACATTAAGTCAGTAGTGAAATGTCCACCTTTCTGGCAAATATTCAGCGTAAATTCCCCACTATGAGGAGCTTGACCATGGTCAAAAGCCGGGGGGTATGGCCGGGGAAGGAGGAGGGGGGGTGGGCACCTTTGGGATTGACTCATGCTTTTAAAATATACACGATTAAAAAGCCATAAATAAGCCATCACATCAAGCTCATAAATAAAAAAATTAATTATCCAAACTTGGTTCAAGTATTTTTGATGTTGTGACTTTGACTGTGGTCTAGGGGGTGGGGGGTGGTGTTAGATTTGTTGCTTCTGAACGTTGACTGTACGTTTGAAGTGTCCTTCCCAAAGCTACCAATTTTTCAACTGAATTTATTATTATACTATAATTTAGAAGCGAAACAGAAGTGATAATATCAAACTCACCGCGGAAGCTCATCTTGAAGAGAAGAAGACTTTATGATACCAAAGTATGAAGAGATGAGGAAACGTAAAAACGCGCTTCACAAGCACGACATGATGCAAGTCCAATAAAATAACAAGTCAACGATTCGAAAATCAACCAGAGCGACTAAAATATCGTTAGTCTTCCTCAATTACTGACTGTTTTCTTTCATTAGCCTTCGATATTACTGAAAGGGATAAAGATCTCATGAAAACTATTTCTGCAAAGCTGTTAGATTTTAAGGACGGCGCGCGTTACGTTGAAAACTGACACAGACGTGACCGGAAAGACTGGGTACTACCGGCAAATCAACACAAGCAGAACGGGAAACCCGCGGGATTTGAATGGATAACATGGCGGCTGTCTGACACGGTGATCTTTTGCTCTCTAAARCTAAGCTAGCGCGCACCCTTCTATTGTATTGTTATTCAAAATCAGAAAACTGGAATTATTTAGAAATGCTAAGTTTATGCGTTTCTTATGTAGAGGTTTGGATTTAAATTTTTTAAGATATATTCGACAACATTGAAGATGTCTATCTAGTCGAACACCTCCTACAAGATAATGGACTATCCAAAGCCGTTAAAGCTAATACAAGATGGAAATATAGACGAGTTTGTAGAGTTGATCAATACCAGTGCTGATCCAAGATGTATTATTAACGTAAAACACGAAAGATCGGGAGATAATGCGGCTATTGTTGGTGCGAGACATGGCCGACTCCAAGTATTGGAAATATTACATAGGAATGGAATGGACTTTGAATTGTGGAATTGTGATGGTAAAAGAGCGATACATGAAGCTGCCTACGGAGCTCACCTGGACTGTGTAAAGTTCTTGATTAATATAGGTGTTGAGTTTGACTGCCTGAAGAGAGCAGATTGGTATGTAAGTAGATTTGTATTCAGTGTGGAATCAGGGGGGGGGGGGTACTCCCACATATTGACTATACAGGGATGATCCGCTGAACAGGGTATGGTTTTTTGAGCTTCTTGTCATAAACAGGGTATGCAATTTCACTCAATTTCCAAGTTCTTCCTGAGTTTCCTGTCATATTAAGGGATTCTACTTTCGTATTGACCAAAACTGGTTATAACTGGACCGAAACTGGTAAAAAAAAACAATACTTGAGCTGACATGATAATTGAAACAGGAACGCAGTGCAATAAATTATATCTTGTGTCATATGCAGGGTCTACAAATTTGAGTTTTTTATCATAAACAGGGTACATGTACCCCTTTCAGAATCCCAGTGGAACACCCCTACCCAAATCCTGGTGGAGTATCTCCCCCCCCTCCCTGGTGTGGATACTGTGAGACCACTCATTAAAACAGCTTTTTTCCATGTTCCGTTTGATAGTAATAAAATGCATGCTTAGGAAGTGCCATAAGCACCCACTCATSTTTCTATTTACATTTCTTTGTTGCTTATATCTTTTATTACTGAATGGATAATGGGAAAAAAAACTGTGTTATTCATTAATTGGTCAACCTTACATGTATAAGTGTACAAGTTGGAGCGTTGATCGGCACAGTGAATTCCATAATTATATACTTGGCAATTTTCCAAGAACACAACACCCAAACCCCTCCCCTCCCCCTCCCACCAAAAAAGAGAGAAAATACTGCTAAAAGAATAAAAAACAAGTGTGCATGCATGCTCTGTGCAATTGAGTATATTTGGGTGCTTCTATTTACAGAAAACAAGTTTTCTTTCATGATTAGTCAGGTGATGGTACAGGAAATCACATAATCTCGAGTACAATTCGGAATTTATAGGTTCAAAAAGGCCTGWCCAATTTTGGAAACTTTCAAAACATCACAAGTATCCATAGATTCCGAATTTACGAGAAGATTGTGCAATTTTTTGTTTATAAACGCTCAAAAAATTTGAGCAGCTCAATTGGGACTCTACAGAGTACAATTTGGGGTTTAATTGTTCTCCTCTAATCCATTCAGAATCGACTATTTTTGTTGAGTGTTAATTATAAGAAATAGAATAACCAATATTTTGGAATACAATATACAAGTTATTGTATGTAATAGAAAGTGAGATTTATAACCAAAGTTATTTCATAATATCCTTATAATCAATTTAAATCAAGAATCAGATTTTTATGATATTGACTGAGGTTTTCAATTTTGTTCATTTAAGGACTCCACTCATGCTTGCTTGTACAAAACCTAACATTGATGTCATTGACGTGCTTGTCACAGCTGGAGCCAGTTTGGTACAATGCAACAAGGATGGCTGGGACAGTTTCCATGTTGCAGCAAGGTACTGTACTACTACTACCACGCCACGTCAGTAAAGTTATAAGAGCCTTTTTAGACATTTCACCAAATGCGGCTGAATGCACATATACTAAACGTAAAGCATCAATCCATTTGAATACATACTTATTTGGATATGAATAAATGTGATCTCAAAGTGCCATGTCGTACATTTTATTAGATGACTAAACGATAACAAAAGGTTATATCATTAATTATACAATAAATCATGCGTACTTATTGACTGAGTGGGAGGGCCGGATGGGAAAATATTTGGCTTGAGGTCATGCTGTATGGGTCAAGCTCAGCAAGTGATAAGCATAGCGAGGTGGGCTGGTCTGGTTTTTCTGGCCCACTCATCAACCCTCAGTCTGGCCCCCATTATGTGACTTTTTCCAAAGGTTTTATTAGAGTGCATGAGAAGGGCTGTACAGGTCAAATATAAATGATAATTTGAATTATAGGCACCTTAGAGCCTTTGAATGCTATCTTCTAATGCGTAGTTCCAGAAATTAATTGCCCCCCCTCCCCTCCCCCCCCCATCCCAGAGGAATTTGGAATCATAATTTTTGGAACTACGCATTGTATGTTTTGTTTTGTGTTTCACTAAATTTTCCAAGATAAAAGTGAATATTCCCCCCAAAAAATAAAACAAAGTTAAAATTTTATGCAAATGAACATAATTTTATATCAGGGGCCGATTGTACAAAGGTCGATAAAATTATAGAGTTTGTGTAGAAGAAAATTGGAATTTACAGGGGTAGGGTGGTTGTTAAAAAATTCCTCCCTTGGGAGGGGGGGGGGKGGTGGGGGATATGGATAATTTCTGGAACTTCACAATTAGGAAAAAAAGCTACTGGTTAGTAACATGCACATTTGACTGGTATATATTTATGTGAATTTTTTTTCTTCAAGCAAATTTTTATAAAATTCTTATTCAATTTTATGTCCTCAAATTTTAATATATATTTTTTCAATTTGTTTAAACATATTATTTTTTTAAATTTCTTTTAGAGAAGGGCATGTTAATATTTTAGAATACTTACTAAAGAAGCTGAAGGAATCTGGATCCTGGTCAAGTAAGAGATATAGCAAAAATGGACGTACTCCTCTACACACAGCAGGTATGATTGACTGAGACTATGTATTCATGTAGGGAGGGCGGCTGGCTCATTATCTAGAGATTCATTAYTGGGAAGCAATGGTGGCATGCATTGGTATAGCACTGCTTCTCACCAATGTGACCCAGGTTCGAGCCCTAGCTGGTGGACTAAAGCTGTTGGGCTGGGGGGCTATAGCCCCCCCAGTTTACTTTTTCCCATACAATAGTTTCATATTTTCCAATCTTAGCCCTTCCACTTCTTAGGGTGGTTGGCGGTCCTTGAGTGGAGGTCCAAGAAATCTTATTCATGTCAGCTAATACTCCAGCTTTGGATTCTCTGTTGTACAATGCTACCCCTGAAACAAAGGAATACAGCATTAATCTGGAACTTGAAAAAATCTATTCCTACCAACCCCATTATGTTCTCGTCACTTTAAGGAGAGGGCATTAGACAATATTATGTGCATCTAGGATTTTGAGTAGGGGGCAGTAATGAAACTAATAATAAGTGAAGATTCATTATTTTTAGGAATGAACAATATTTAATGCTTAATATATCAACCAGCTAATTCCAAGCTAGACAGGGGGATAATGGGTATTTTGTGACCTAGTTCCCACCAAATRCACCACTGACAGTAACATTKGGATAAACAGTATATTACATCTATTTTGTTATTGTATCACAAAACACATCCAGCTCTGCATGGTAAGACTGAAGCAGTGAAGTTTATAGTGGACAACTGTGATTATGAGCCTGATGTCTCTGACAGCTGTGGAGCAACACCATTAATGGATGCTCTACGCAGTGGTCAGATTCCTATTGCTGAATACCTCATAACACACCATCAGGTTTGTACCCACAAAAATTGTGTTTTCTCTACTTTCACATCCCCATGATGCCTTGCATCTTTGGGGGGTAACCAATCAAAACACTGTCCCAAATCGAAAGGTTTCTTAATTGAATTCATACTAAAACAGTAATGATGAAAAGGTAAATTATACACCGTGAAAAGATGAAAAAACTTACTGACGCAGCTCACACTAGTTTTTAGCTAGTTATATCTTTGAATTCATACTATACTTGCTTTTATCTGTACAATACTGATTATCAGTTTATTCC